AAGATATGGAACAGAAGGTGATATATTGAAAGCATGGATAATTAGAACCATTAACATAAACAGTTTAATCATTTACCTCTTGGTCTATCGAGCCAGAGTAAACATATGCTTGCGGGCAAACTTTATTGTGTTGGAAAGGGTGCAAGTTTTCACACTTTTGTCCCACCTACCAGGGACCCAGTGAAGAAGATGTGTGGAAACGGGTCAGGGGGAGGAGGTGTCAGGTTGGAGGGTTTAGGGGAAGGTGAGTGGGAAGGTGTGAATGTAACACTTTTTCCGGTGCAAGGGTAGCCTCATGTACGCTGAAAATCGAGCCTCAGCCATCGGTCAGCTTCAGCCGTGCATCCGTGGTGCGGAAAGAGAGAGAAATGGTACGGGCATGCCCACGAGAGACAAAGATAATATAGATTATAACAGAAAAACAATTCGGTTGGGTGGAAAATATTGCTGTATAGGCGAGAGCTGTGCGCACGCATTTTGTGCTAAAGGGACTCTTTACTGTCACGAGCATTTCCCAGGTGTTCTGTCCGTAAAGCAGTTATTCTATGAAGTCAGAAAGAGTATTGGAAAGCGATCAAGGCATCCGCACACAAGCCACCAAGCGCTCAGAAAAATGCACGTGGATTCTAGATTTGTAGCTTTCGTGACTGCAAGGATTCATACTCTTAGTTTTTTCGGTAAAGTCACGTAGGTAAAAAATGAAATTAAAATTAATAAAATAATAAAATAATAAAAATCACGACGTTTTGGAGGCAACACAAGTCTTCGTCATCAGGTGGGACCGTCACAGCCAGATTTGCTGTATCAAGTGAGGCAGGGATTCCAAAATGCAAGTTCTTAAATACAAGTTAAGGGGGAGTGTATTTAAGAACTTCCATCTTGGAATCCCTGCCTCACTTGATACAGCAAATCTGGCTGTGACGGTCCCACCTGATGACGAAGACTTGTGTTGCCTCCAAAACGTCGTGATTTTTATTATTTTATTATTTTTTATTAATTTTAATTTCATTTTTTACCTACGTGACTTTACCGAAAAAACTAAAAGTATGCACGTGAATGTTTCAAAATGACTTTTTTGGTTTTGTTCGTGAGGTCCCGCTGAATAATTACCCCGCGTTTAAAATCGTTACCAGCGACGATGTCTCACGCTTCACCGACACAAACAAACGCCACGAGAGCGACAAACATTTGCTCAGTGACATCGGCGACGATGAGGTGAAGTGCAGTTCGCCTCGCAATTACCACGTTGTCATCCTGCCAGAGACGCAATTTCAGGCTTAACGCAACGAATTGATGAACGAGCGAATGGAAAATAAAAATAAATGCAACCACGCAATGGGAGCGCGCCGAGGACTCTTGGCACTTGAAGAGACTTGCTACGTTGGCAGTACAATCCAATGATGCCTGGAGAAGAGGCACGAGTGCTCATATGGTACCAACCAGTGACGTAGCTATCGAACATGCAGGCGGTGCAACTTGCACTGGGATCCAAGGGATATTGGACATGGGGTCCCATTTCATTCCTCACACCAGGGCCAATGTCAACCCACGCTGCGCCACTGTTAACAGACCCAATGGGAACTACAAGAAGCGTGCCGCCACTCTTCAATAGCAGTGGCCGTCAACTACTTGGAGTGGTTTGTGAGACTCACATTTAAGTTGAAAAGGTTCCCATTGACAGTACCTTTACATTTCGATTTAAAGCTTTCGTGACTGCAGGGATTCATCTTCTTGGTTCTTTCGGTAAAGTCACGTAGAATGGAAATAATATTCATTCAGATGCTGTCTTTTTGAAAGACCTGTTCTTCACCTGAGGACGGCTGCTTGCGTTGTGGCCGAAACGTCGTGAGAATTATTTTATTATGTTTTATTTTTATTGTTTTATTATTTCCATTCTACGTGACTTTACCGAAAGAACCAAGAAGTTGAGTACCTTTAATGTCATCGCACGTTGGCACGATTTCCCTTCTGCCCGCTCCTCCAGCAGTTGCACAGTCGACACCTGACCTCCAAGGCCAGTGTAGTTATTTTGAGGGTGTGGACATGGGTATCCACATGGATACCCCCCTCCCCTCATAGTAATCAGTGGCTATTTACTTCGCCTGGTGTTTAGGAGGACGTGGGTTCGATTCCGACCCTGATGCCTGCTGTATATTTAGAGTTTGCGTGTCTCTCTCCGCGTGGTCGCGTGGATTTTTCTCTGGCTCCTCTTGTTTATCCCTCCACATTACGATCAATGTGCGTTCAGAGTGATTTGGTTGTTATAAACTTCCACATGATGATAAGCCACTTCGTTGAGCTCTCACTTGTGCCCACGTCGCTTCTGAAATAGAGCTATATAGCTCAGTGAGCCTTACCTGGTAAAATAAAAACTTTTTAGTTTAACGAGTTTCGTCTGCCGGCCGAGTTTCCCTTGAAAATAACTTTAAAGCTCAATGGGATTCACTCGGGTATAATAAATACATTTCTGATTCTGATGCTTCTGAGTTTCAACAATCGTATTTTGGGGAAATGGTCAACCTTGCGAGGTTAAGTCATGCCGGTTATACCGCGACGTGTGCTGTGTTGTGCATTGCTAATTGGGGTGACCTCACGGCTCCATTGCCTCAATGCCCACAGCGTCAAGTGGCAGAGGCCTTTACAGTTTCCATGGTTCTCACGGTACTCGCCCTGAGAATGCATCCTTTGGGAGATGAACAGCATTAGAATGGTGGGATGATGTGAACAACAAAACCAGGTGTATGCTATACCACGCTGCCTTAACACCTGCACCGATAGCACCTCACATGGGCCTCATATTGTCAGATCTCGGAAGCTGAGCAATGTCGAACCTAAACTAAACGTTTGTTCACCGGGTAAAGTCCATTGAGCGATAACATATTGACCTGGCCACACATCATAGCTCATCAAGGTGGATTATCGCGTGGGATTTTGTTGTTGTTATAGTGGCATACATAATCCTAATGCACGTCTCTAAGCGTGAAGGGCAAAACTAGAGGATCAGGCGAAAAACGCACGCACCCACTGGGAGAGAACATGTACACTCCAAATATCAGGATCGAACCCACGACCTCCTGCGTACCAGGTGAGGGAGATAACATCTCACCACCAATGGTCAGTACTCGGGTGGAAGAATGCCTGGGAAAATCAGGTGCACTCCCATGTGTATATTTACGTAACAATATCATGATTTTAATGATTTATATGAATTATGGTGACTTAATAATTTGATGCATTGTTTGAATATCCATCTCAATTGTTACCCTGTAGTTATATAAGGCTCCCACTCAATGTTGACTTGGAAATTATTAATCATTTTCAGCATTTTGTCAAGCCACCGCTGCCTGAAGACCACCCCATAACGTGTCGGCCATGGGAGTTGTTTCGCCATACTTCAACAAGCTGGTTCAGTATGGTTTGGTGAAGGGATGCAGGGGTCAGGATCGGTTCAGATGCGTATCAAGCGAGGCGTGGAATATATTTCAGTGCTTGATCCACTGTATCACCACGCCCACCACCAGTGTATGGCTTGGCTTATTTTCCTTAATATTTCGTGTGTGTATATATCCAAATTGGATTTCATTTTGCCAAAATTGCATACATACGCTGTAGATCTTTCACCAAATTGCACAAATGGCCAAATCTCCAACATCACAATATATTGCTTTACATGTAAAAACATGGTTATGCTAAGCATGCACTTACACATTCACCGCAGAGGTATACAATAACCATATATGTAAACATATATATATTCCGGATAGAATACTGTTTTTTTTATATCCGCCTATACACATGCGTGCAGTGGTAGCACGGTGAATAGCATAATGAATATTAGACGAGAAATATCACAATTTAGTTTGATAGGCAGCCATTGCTAACACGAGTGGCACGTCGAAACCGAACCAGTCCCGAGGATGAAACGACCTCCATGGCCGCACTTTATACAAATCCCTCCTGTTCGTGGTGTCATGCGCATCGCTGGTGTCAACACTGATTCATGAAGATGAATAACAAACAACAAAAAAACACCATTTAGTGGATTGACAAAGGGCCGCACGCATATACACCCCATGCACTCCACAAACTGGCTATGAAAAACCTCTATTACGGCTATGAGGTGTGTACACCACACACACACACTTTGGAAAATATATATAGTGTACTGTATATACATATGAATGGGCTGCTTTATCTCCGAATAATCCTCTATGCATTCCAATCCGGTTCTGGATTTAAGAATTGGTCTGCGCAATGCTTTTGTCCAGTGTCATCAGGAGCAGCAGTGCATTGCCTGTGTAATACTGGGGGAGGGATGGAAAGAGGGGGGCGGGTGCTCGGTGGAGGGGGGGGGTTGGTCTGGATCGGGAGAAGAGGAGTGATGGGGCGGTGGGAGGTCTAGGGGAGTTGGGACAATGGAACAAGGAGGTGATGGTTTACGTAAAGCGGTGCTAGCGTATTCCTGCATCCACAATGACGGAACTACTTTCACCCAGATATATTCGTGGGGGGGGGGGGGGGGGGGTTGGGGGGGGGCAGGGGTGGGGGTGTCTCGGGTAGGAGGGGGGTGGGGAACGCAAAAGGTGATTTTGTTCGTGAGTAGATGTGGAGTGTGGGGTGGGGATTATGAGGATGGCTGTGTAGAGTGGGGATTGACTGTATAGCGGTGGAGGAGGAGTGGGGGAAGGGAGAGCCAGGGCTGGTTGGGTGGGGGTTGGTGATGATTGCTCAGGATGGAGGGATGATCTTAAGGAAAGGTCCTGGCGTCGTCGATGCCGGGTAGCAGACGGGAGAGAGAGAAAGAGCGAGAGAAAGGGCGGGAGGGGCAGGGAGGGAGGGAGGGAATGATGAGTGTGGGTTGCTCAGGGATGTCGGGAGGCAGGCGATGGAGGGGGGATGAGAAGGGGAGGTTGATGTAGGGGGGGGTAGGAGGGGGTAGGAGGGAGGGAGGAGTGTGTAGCGTGCGTACGTGTGGATTTGGAAAGTGGAAGAGGGGGTCTCTCGGCACATGCGCATTGCTTCGTTCTGCACGCCGCTCCGTGCGCTGTTCGCATCAACCTCACATCGCGCCCTGCCGAGTGGATGAGTGCAAGGTTCCACCGGTTCCTGGGATAGATACGTCTGCTCGTTCATTCCCGCCTCGTTTCTTCGCGGCTTTAATTAATAACACAACGATTGCGCATTTAAAAACGTACATAGTCAAAAAAAATATTAAACAAGCGAAACACACACACACACGGCGTCTAGCTTATACACACTCACGTCTGTGCGTGTTAATCATAACAGCAGCAGCAGCGTGCAAAGATAAGAGCGCTGAGGACAAGAAGGGAATCTTCCACATCTACCACCGCTGCAGAAATGGAGGGGTTCCGAATCCTCTCCATGGTCGGTCTCTTGATTTACGGCGCACAAGGTACGGCTGTTTATATAAGTGTAACGTAGATGTCTAACGCAACACATGCCCATCAAAATACACAAGTTTGAATCATCATCGCTGGCGTTCGTATTGAGCGTGCGTAAGAATATTTCGCGCGGGCCGCGTATTGTCAAAAGCCTCGTCGGACCAGATTTAATCTGGACAGATGGACGCTGGGTGCACAAAGGATTATGGCATGCAAAGTAGGACTTGGGTGTACCTAGCGAGCTCGCTGGCTTAGCGCGCGTGTGTTAATAGAAGCCATGCATTTCTGTACGGTAATAATGAGAGCGCGAACGTCAATAAACGCGATTTGAAAATTTCACATTTGCACTTATGCACACGCGAGATCAAATTACCGCGTCGGGTAAATGGTCTCTTATATTATGCTTCTTAATAAAAACCAAAAAAAAACCGAAAGCATAGTTTAAGTGGAATGAACGCGCCGTATAAAACGCGTTGTTAAAATGAGCATTGCATTGTTAGCGGGACCGCCTTTTTATTATTTTTTTGTGTGGTACGGGCGCTATAGCGCGCGGGTGTGAATCTCAGTGCGCGTGTGTTCGTGTGCGTCCGTGTGTTTATGCGCGTGTGCGCGTCTGTGCGCGTGTGTGGGGAGCGGTGGTGGAGCGGTTAGCGCGCTGCGTTACGAACCCGGAGACCCGAGTTAGATTCCCGCTCACGGCACACCTACAGCAGTGACGATTATCTGCACCCGTCCTGGGCCTCCCTTAGGTCCACTCAGCCTCAAATGAGTACCTGGTGCGGTGTGTAGTAAACATTGCCACTGGGGAGACAAAGGCGGCCGGGTTTGGTATTGGCCACCCACCCCCTCATGTGCCGTGCTGGCCTTAATAATAGGTGCTCGCTAACAGCACTTGCCCCAACAGCCCATTTAAGGCTATACGGGGGATCTTTGTCTTTGTTTGTGTGTTAGTGTGCGTGTGAGGCCCGTATGTTATTGTCTTTGTGTGCGCGCGCAATCGTATGCGCGCGCGCGCGCGCGTGTGTGTCTGTGTATTATTGTGGGGGAGCGGTAGCGCAGTGGTTAGCGCGCTGCGCTACGAACCCGGCGAAGCGAGTTCGTATTCCCGCTCACGACCAGCAACACCAGTGAACCGGTCATCTGTCCTGGGCCTCCCCTTGGTCGACTCCGCCTCTAATTAGCATCTGGTACGGTGCGTAAACATCGCCACTAGGGAGACAAAGGTGGCCGGGCGGGACCACGTGACCTTAATACGTGCACGCTTACAGCACTTGCCCCAAAACGTCTGCTCAGGCTATACGGGGGATCTTTGTCTTATCGTCTGTGCAGTGTGTTATTTTAAGTGCGTGTCTGGGTGAATGGGTAATTGTGGGGAGAGGTGGCGCCGTGGTTAGCGCACTGCGCTACAAACCCCGGCAAACTGAGTTCAATTTCTCGGCCACGGCTACCAAGCCCTGGGAGTTCCCTAGATCGACTCAGCCTTAAATTAGTACTCAGTGCCGTGTACACATCAGCACTGGGGGGAGACAAAGGCGGCGAGGCGTGGTTATAGCCAATCAGTGCTGGACCTTAGTATGTGCTTGCTTTCAGCACGAACATGGGGTGGGAGGGAGTGCGTAATTGTGTGTGAATGTGTGTGTATGTGATTGTGTGTGTGTGTGATTCTGTGTGAATGTGTGGGGAGCTGTAGTGTAGCGGTTAGCGCGCTGCGCTACGGACCTGGCGACCCGGGTTCGATTCCCGCTCACGGCCAATACCCAGTGACGATTATCTGAACCGGTCCTGGTCCTCCCCTAGGTAGACTCAGCCTCAAACGACTATCTGGTGCGATGTGTAAACATCACCACTGGGAAGACAAAGGCGGTCGGGCGTGCTGCTTGGCCACCCCCACCCCCTCTGGTTGTCGTGGTGGCCTTCATAGGTGCTTGCGAGTAGCAGGCTATACGGGGGATCTTTGTCTTTGGTTGTGCATGCGTATGATGTGCTGTCATTTTTTTCTGTAGGGATGGCTGGGGGTTAGAACAGGGTATTTGGCGGGGGTCGTGGCGGAAAGGGGTTGGACTCCCATCCAAGCTACATCAGTTGTCTTTATGAAATCAATCCGCCCAAGAAACGAGCCTGCAACGGCACACAGTGACTATGATAACAGCCGCAATGAAATCATTGTATTTTAACGCCCTTCCTCACCAAACTGCGCGACGACTGAGACACACACTCGTGCAGTCTGTGCACACGCGCGTGTGTGTGTGGGTCTCGAGCAGAGCAACGGGACGACTTATTGGATTTTGTCGACACGTGGACTCTCGCCTTTAATTGAAGATCTGCAACCTCTTGATTGCAGGCTTTTGTAGCGGTGGTGGCGGTGATGGTGATGATGATAACAGTGCCTTTTACCCGGGGAAAGCTTCAAGACTCTTTTTTTTGGGGGGGGAGGAGGATGTGTGGCTCCACTAAATGTTTGAGGTGTTTGGCCAATTTCCAATAATTATCGTTCGGCTTCACAGGGCGGCGGGGGAGGGAAAGACAAATACGCCCCGTGTGTTTCGAGGGGATAACAGTCAACAGCTTCGCACAAGATGTTCTACGTTACACTCACCCACGTTTATTCCGCTACCACCCCTTGGCCCGTGCATCGCAGGGCGCGTGCAACGGTCCCGTGTCTTTGTATCAAATTCGTTGCCGTTCGTTCGAGGACGCGCTTGCGTTTGTCATCGCTACGCTGGTGTTGAATTAAAATGGGATCGTTTCAAATGAGCATTGCTAGCTAGTACCAAGGTGGATACACTGGATATCCTTAAAAAAATATGTATCTTATGTTGCTAGTTAAAGCAGCAGCAGTAGCGTTGATGACTATTGTAAACCTCAAACGTTTTAAATACTGCGTCTGCTTGTGTCCGGTAAATACATTCGATACCCCCTGTTAAAAAGAAAACATTTGCTTGCTTGCGCGCGCTCTCTCTCTCTCGCTCTCTGCGTGTGTGTGAAGCGTGAAGAAGAGAGGGGGGTGAGGAAGGCGGGAAAAGAGGAGTGAGTGGTGGGAGATTGTGGTGGGTGGGTTACGCGGTTGTGCCCTTATTTATTTATATGTTTGAAACAGCGACGGGAAAACAATGAACGAACGCGTCGAGCGGATGGAGACGCCTTCCCAAATCAGGGGCTTTGCCAAAGAACGTTGATCGTTCGCGCGCCCGTCACGTCGGCAGGCAGTGCAAAGTGTCGCTCGCCAATCTCTTTGTCGATCGATGTATCTAATAGCAAAAAAGCAAAATGTAACAACGTGGTTTAATTTTTTTTTTTGCACAGCTTCAACTCGATAATTATAATAACAATGCGTGTGTCACCCATTGTCATCTTCCAGCCACGACTTTGTTAAGTTCTTCCGTCTCGAATGTAAAGGGAGGGAGAGGGTAGTTTATAAGCAATAAGCTCAGCGTGCTATCAACAGTGACGATTTATACACCCCCATTGAGCTAATGGGCATAATGGGTAAGAGAAGAAAAAACAAACCCGTAAAAGCTTGTTTTGAGGAAGCTTTAAATAAAACGGTTAAGCATTGCCCTTTATATATTTAAAAAAGTGGATTTTTTTCAGATTTTTTTCAGATTTTCTTCTTATTTTTTTTCCGTCTCACGAAATGAACAAGATGCACTTGCCTTCTGCTTTCCATTTTAACTCCGCGCATCTCGCCTCGACGAGATCCTATCACTGACACCGGTATTCATGATCACATGGCTGTGCCCACCTTTTGGAGCAGATCTTGAGGCACTGCTGCAGAAACATGAAACAAAAATGACGTGCGGTGCAGAGGAAAAAAGCAAACCGTATAAAAATAGTATCACAGAGACAAACATCATCGCATCATTCTGGGTAAACCGGTGGTGGCTTAAAACAAAACGAGTCTCAAGATTTGTCTTCAAGATAGCAGCGACACTCTGCGGGTTTCTGCTTCGTGCGTTCCGTATTGTTACCGCCCCCACTCACCGCACACCTCCGACTTGGCACGGTTCGCCACGTACGGTGCGAAAGAAATTCAACGCACGGGCACGTACATCAATTTGGCATGCACGTGGAGTGAGTTTCAACGTGTGAGCGTGCCTCTTCCTCCTGCGTGGCGAGCGGCACCGCACACCTAGCAACAACAGAAAAGTATATTCTTAGGTTTTTTTCGGTAAAGTCACGTAGGTAAAACATTAAAATTAATAAAAGTAAAACAAAATAAAAAAATAAATAAAAAGTGTGCCGTACTTGGCCCTTCCCCCTCTCCAACCATTATATAAACGGAGTGGTAGCTCTTGCAATCTCTCATTTACTTGATACAGCTGTCGTGGCTGTGACGGTTCCACCTGAAGACGGAAGCTTGTGTTGCCTCCGAAACGTCGTGATTTTTTTTTTACATTTATTAATTTTAATGTTTTACCTACGTGACTTTACCGAAAAAACCTAAGAATATGAATCCTTGCAGTCACGAAAGCTTCAAATATAGAAACAACAGAAAAGGTCTCCCGCAACCTTTGGCGGTGACAAAGCCCGATCAGGGGGCTTTTGCCTCATCGGGCTGTTATTGTTCAGATGGGGGGGGGGGGGGGGGGCGGCTGCGGCGGGCGGTCTATAGCACTTGTGGGGGTTGGGTGCGGTGAGTCAAATTGTGGAGGCAGGGGAGGGGGGGGCATTGGGGGTGTGTGGATGGGTGGGTGGGGGTGAAGGCCTCGTGGGCATGAGCAGAAAGGGGAGAGGTGGGGTCAGGAACGGGGTGGGTGGAGGGGGAAGGGAGAGCAGTGGCTGTGGTTTATGGCTATAAAAGTGGGATGGCAGGAATACAAAATAGGTGTGGGGGTTGGGAAGGGCTTGACACACGAGAGGAACAAGACATGCACATGCGTTGCCAGTGAGTCATTGAAGGGTTCTATGGTGATACTTGTGTTAGTACCAGTCAGAGCAAGACTTAGTACATGCCAGCCAATTCAACATTTAAATACGTGTATAACATTTTACACTGTAAATGTCATTGTAC